CAATTTGTGATTATGCCACATGTATACCACATTTATGTTTAATGGTTACAGGTTATCCCATGTTAACATGGTACCATAATTCACTGAATAGTCCCATGTTAACATTTACGTTCTTTGCAGTGTTTTGATAAAACTTTCATGATTATTCTTTTAAAATTATTTGATTATTTCTTCAACATGAATTTCTAGGACTAGAATTGCTGAGTCAGATTAAATGCATGCTTAAAATTTTTATCTTCATTACCAGGATGGACTTCCACATATATCAGCTTATTCTAATGATTGTGTGTGTAAAGCCTGCTGCCCCATATCCAACATTGGCTATTACAAGTCTTTTTCATGTTTGCCAGTGGGAAAGATGAAAATAATGTCATTATACTTTCTCAAACTATAAACGAGGATGAACATTTTTATATGATTATTGCTAACTTTAGTCTTTTAACACTTCTGAACATTCAAACTCTACTTGGAACTCCAGCTCCATTCCTGATGACAGATGAAAGGAAGGGAGAGAACTGAAGCATTATGCTATTCTTTCCTACCAAAATAAGTGCTATTAACAATACCAACCACTAACTATAAAACTACATATAAAGTTGTACATACACACTATCTTGAAATCCTCATAAGCCCCTTGGATACTAAAATTTAAGACCTATTCTTATTCCCATCTTATAGAGGGAAAAATGGAGGTTCAGGAAAGTTAAATAACAGTGAGTGACAGAACAAATTTAATCAAAAAATGCAGCTATCTGATACCAAAGTCCATCCTCTTAAATCATCTGCCCTACTACCATCTATGTTCCTAAACTCAGTCTGATGATTTAATTTTCATATTAATAAGGCAAGCTTGCCTGCATCTAGTTGAACTGGAGCATAAAACAATTCTTGGTCACAGAATGACACTAATACCTAGCAAAGCCTGAGGATGTTAACCAAAAGGAAGAATGTAACCCAAACTCAATCTGTTTGGCCAGGAGCTGAAAGGCAACTAGGAAAGCTGAGTGTGCATCACTCATCTTGAAGCCTCATAAAAGAAGGGAAATTGTATTTGCAAGTCCAATTTCTGAATGTTTGAGGAAGCCTCACAGGAACACTGTAGTGAGGAGTTAAAAGGAGGGTCCTGAGAGGGGATGCAGATAATATAGTGTGCGGGGCTCTCCACTGCAGGGTATGTAAATACTTTATGCACTAATTCAATTACATGTTTAGATTATGCAGGAAGACTGATTTAAGCAACAGCCTGCACTGCTGTCCCATCACCCATGCATGCGTGCAAGAGAACAGAGTTAAGAGAGCTGGGTCGACCTTAACTCTGGATTTCTTGACTTTTATGGGCTTAAGTTGGAACTTTAATGTTTTATTAATGTCGAGTTTTTTGGAGTTGGTATTCAAAATGTTTCAAGCAGAGATATGAGGGTCTCAAATACCTGGAATCTGTTCACACCGACAGGGAGAAGAAAAATAATTCTGTTTTAGACAAATTATCAACCACTCTAAGAGCACAGTGGAATTATTTTTGCATAAATTATTATACAAAGGGCCATTAATCCTGCAAAAGTGTATATATTCAACTTTCAGTTATTAATAATATTGGCACAGGTAACATATAATTATGAACTTCTGAAAGACCAGTCCAATGAATAAATATATTCTTAAATCGATTATCTTCAGAGAAAGGGCAATCAGAAACTACAAATAAGGAGGCTTGCTCAGAGCTCAAAGGAAATGAGCTAACCCTTGTAAATGCCTCCAGAAGTTAAGCGGTTCTAGCAAACCTTTTTTTTTTATTCACGCCATATATTGATTTATGTAAGAAGTTCCTTTCAAAACTTTAAGGCCCTGCTTACATACCTTATTTTCTACAAAGAAATTCAGAGATGAAGCAGGATTGCAATTTCTAGTAATAAAAACTTTCAACGCACTTGCTGTGTTCTAATTCAGAAGATTTAGCCTTGAGAAAAATATGCAGAGCTACATAATCTCTTTGTGAAGCGACAGAGGAGTTTTAATAGCAGCTAATTTCAGCTTTATACGTTTAAACAAATAAACGTATTTAGTGATCTAGATTTCCTTTGAAAATGCTATTTAATGACAGATTTCCCTTTTGAAAGGCCACAGATCAACATGCTATAAAAACTCAAGGTGTGCCCCACAGCACCCTAAGTAAACTGAAGTCTCAGCTCGCCTGGATTCCGGCTTCCTGCTAACATGCACCCTGAGCAACAGCAGGTGATGGCTCAGGTGGTGGTCCAAACCGTCCATCTGTGGCACCCAGACTGAGTTCCCAGCTTCCGGCTTAAGTCATGTCTCATTCCAGGGGTTTTGGACATTTAGTGGGTACATCAGAATGTCATATATCACTATCTTTCCTAATCTATTTCTTTCTCTCTGTTCCTCTCCTCCCCATACCTCCTCCCCTCTCTCTTTCTCTCTCTCAGTTCCACTCTCACTCTCAGATAAATAAAATAAATATAAAATTAACAAATTTATCATATTATTAACATTAATGAGCATTAACACCTTTTCCTTGTGTTGCTTCTATTTTTTTTAACCACACTTTAAATGACCTGCTTTTTCTTTTTCCCAGTTCATTTGCAATACTCACAAGTTTTCTTGGGGAAATTTTCATTTTTCTGGGAACTGAAGATTTTGAGTTACATGTTTCCATATTCATAAATGTCTTGACTATGCGGAATAAAAGTGAAAAGAGATTTAAACTGGGCAAAAACATTGCTTATAAAACAGTCACTCAGGAATAATCATCTCAACTAAAGAAACTGTTTGTGTAAAGACAAAAAGGGCCAAATTTTGTCCTTGGATGTGCACACACAGCTCCTATTAGCTTTTGAAAACAGCTGCGTGAGTGTAGCCAAGAACAGTGGTTAGCCCAATTTGGTCTTATTTATCTAGAGCATTGCAGCCCTGAAACATAAAGACAGGCTATAAGACATTTTGCATGTCAGTACAGTAGCACGCTTTGTGTTATTCTAGTCCCTAGGGCTTCCTTCATCAGGCTGAATGTCAGTGATCACATCTGAGAAGCTTGAAAAGTATATAGACAAAATTTACTTGCAATGTTCCATGCCAAATTTGGAAACCCTACCTTAGCGAAGGCCATTCTTTCCGTGGGGACCAAACATTAACCAATTACATTTACCAAAAGGAAACAGCACATGCAAATGATTTTAAAGTTTTTAAAAAAAGACCAATCAAGAGATCCCAAATTATTACGTTTATAATGCCCTCATTTACAAGATGCAATTCCAAGGATGAGATTTTTTTCAAATAGTGTGCCAAATTAAATTCCCCTCAGAAACACTTTTATCTGTACTCATGGAAGTTTACAATAGTTACTTACTCCAGAACGGGGCTGTAAGTCACAGAACTGGCTTTACCAAACCCAGTGTCAAATTGCCACCTTTCTGTAAACATACAGATCTTGAATGGCATCTTTATGTAGTACAAAAATCTCAAATATCGGATGTCAAATCCTTATTATACAATTATCCAGTAGTGAAACCACCAAGCTTCTCTGCTTTCATTCACTGATATCTCATACGGGAGAAAAAAAGGATTTGCAAACTACTTTCCAAATCCATGCCAACTGATACACTGCCAAATGCACTCCATTTATTGCAGCTAATGGACAACCAGGTAGGTGTGCTATCATGGTGGACACTTATTCGACTCTTCCTACTCTCTGGCATCTTTAGAATGCTTCTTGTCTCTTTAACATGTCTGGGGGCCTAATCCAGGGCTTTTTACATGAGCAAAATTCTTACTGATGCTAACAAAATATCCTGACATCGATGGAAGATGTATCTCTAACTTCATCCCAGAATTTTGTGGGACATCTCAAAAATAAATTAAGGGAGATTTATGAGTAATTTGTAAAATTTCACAAATTTTGATGCAAATTTTTGTCACTTTCTAGTTAAAGAAAAAAATATCAAATTCAATCAATCTGAAATTCTGATGACAAGGTATACGGAGTGTGATTGAGGCAGGTATGCATAGGGAGGGAGCACCCAAGCTGGTGCATCACACAGATGTACCATGAGCCCCTATCTGTTGGGTTTAACCTATACCTATACTTCTGCCAAGGGCTCTGTAAACTATAAACAAAATAAAGAATGAAACAATTGAATCTTTTGTCCAAAATAAGGCAATTAAATATAATTTTAAAGTGTCCACACTGCGCGTTGCTCTTTTCTGGATCTAGCTATGAGCTCAACACTTATGAAAGCCAAGGTAAATTAATAAAGATGACGGCAGTGCTCTTTGCTGAGCTTGGGTATGCCCAGAACCAAAGACAGAAGAGGAGTAAAAAGAGTCTGCTGCTTGGCACAAAGACAGATGTGCTAAACATTATCAAGTTACTCAAGCAGTGTCTCTCCAGTGGAACTAGACAAGCTTAAAACCAAGAAAACATTCCTTAAAAAGTCACCGTGAAGAAGACAAACTGGATCTCAACTAACAAATTACACAGCAAAAAAATATGAACTACCAGAATTTTTTTCCTCAACTCTGTGGCTTAAGATAAATGATTTGGGCCTGGCACAGTAGCTTAGTGGCTACAGTCCTCGCCTTGCATGCACTGGGTTCCCAAATGGACGTGGATTCGTGTCCCAGTTGCTCCACTTCCCATCAAGCTCTCTGATTATGGCCTGGGAAAGCAGTTGGCTCCTGGTTTCACATCGGCTCAGATTGGGTCAGCTCTGGCCGTTGCAACCAATTGCGAAGTGAACCAGCAGATGGAAGCTCTTTCTCTCTGTATATCTGCGTTTCTAAGAAAAATAAATTTTTAAAAGATAGATGTTTTACAATCCTTTTTGTCAATGTTTTAATCCATGCAGTGAAGTTAATAATTAATGTACAAAAGTGTTTTCAGAAATTTATAGAAGTGCTATTTTATATTTATAGTAAACATTGCTTCCATAGATTGAACACAGACCATGTGGTTAAGAATATGCTAATTTTTTAAAGATTTATTTGCTGTGCTTGGTTCAATAGCACATATACTAAAATTGGAATGATACAGAGAAGATTAGCATGGCCCCTGTGCAAGGATAACACACAAGTTTATGAAGTGTTTCATGTTTTTAAAAAATTTAATTTGCTTTATTTGCAAGGAAGAGTTACAGAGAAAGAGGAGAGATCTTACATCTACCAATTAGTTCACTCCCCAGATGGCTGCAACACCTTAGGCTGTGCAGGCTAAAGCCAGGCTAAAGCCAGGAGCCTGGAATACCATACAGGTCTCCAATATAGTGGCAGCTTTGGACCAACTTCTGCTACTTTCCCAGGTGCATCAGTACTGAACTAGATCAGAGGTGAATCAGCTGGTACTCAAACTGGAGCGCAAAGGGATGCCAGCATTGCAGGCAGCTGTTGCACCCAAAGTGTCACTATGCAGGCCCCATGGACATTTGACACAACACTTCACATGCATAACATTTTAGCAAAGTGTTTGATTTTCCAGTCAGAGATTTTTTTACAAAGTAATAATCAGCTTAATTTGGGGGAATGGGGTTAAAAAATACTCCCAAATTCAAACACAAGCCTCAAAGTAGAAGTAGTAGAGTTGTTATTCTGAACTGAAAACACTTCTCCCAAGTTCTGCCGAACAGCTCAATGCTAATACAGACCCAGGATCAGAGCTTCTCCAAGAAGCATGCTGTTTCGTACTGTGCTGCACAGTCATGGGAAAAATTCCTGGTTCCACAAACATAGCATTGTTGCATTTTCTCAGTACCCTCATAGATGCAGGGGCTTTCTTCTCCCCAAAACATTGGGTGCTGTGAAAGTCCTCATCTCTGTTTTTGTTTTTATGAAAAAACAAGAAGAAATGGTGAAACACAACACATTTGTATCCACAAAGCTGAACTGAAATGGGTAATAAATGGTCTCTCAAACATTGTTTCCACTTGCCAGGGCAGCACCTAATGATTGGCAATTTCCTCATCTTTATTCTCAACAAGCTCAATGATACTGGCATTCTAGGCATTATATGACAGAAAAATAAGTCGAGAATTTGCTTTATTTGATTGTCAAACTGATTTTACAAGATTGATGATTTGTATTCACACCTTGATGCGCTGTGGAACTCATTTAGGACCTCAGTTACACCAAATAGGGTGATCACACAAAAACATACAACTATTAGCTATTTCTGCTGTCACTAGTGGTCCCCAATATTCAGTAGGACAAACTGGAAATGTGTCAGTTAATATTTTTAGAGTTATCGTTGAAACTTTCTGTGTAGGCTTATTTGTGTGTGTGTGTGTGTGTGTGTGTGTGTGTGTGTCTGTATGATTTCTCCAGTTTTGTTCCTTTGCCAAGTCTTTTGAAGAAAAAAAAAACTCTTTAATATTTAATCAGAATATTTTCAGCTATTTATCTGACAGAGAATGAATGCCCAGAACATAGTCAACCAACAAAAAACAATGAATCCAGTAAGAAAAGGACCAAACAATCTGAATAGACAGTCCTCAAAGCAGAAATAAAAAGTGGACAACAAAAAAAAATGCCTAATATTATTATCTATCACAGAATTGCAAATCAAAACCACAATGAGCTATATCACCTTACATCAAATCCACAGAAAGTAGCAAATATTGGTAAGGATACGAATAAACAGGAATTCTCATTCCTTGTTAAAGGGAGTGCTAACTGTGGAAAACTATATACAGATTTTTTTAAAGATTTATTTATATACATTGCAAGGGCAGATTTACAGAGAAGAGATACAAAGAGAAAGATTTTCCATCTGCTAGTTCACTCCTCAAATGGCCACCATGGCCAGTGCTGAGCCAATCTGAAGCCAGAAGCCTCCTCCAGGCCTCCTAAGTAGGTACCAGTCTCAAAGGATTAGGCCATCATCTATCCTCTACTGCTTTCTGGAGTCATAAGCAGAAGCTGATGGGAAGTGGAGCAACCAAGACATGTTCCATGTAGGATGCTGGCACTTGGAAGCAGTGGGTTAGCCAGTTGAGCCAATATGCTTACCCCTACAACTATATTTATAGCAGCACTGTTCCTAATATCTGAAATTTGGAATCACCCAAGATATGTATCTCAGATAAATGGATAAAGAAAATGTGTAATACATACACAATGAAATATTTGTCAGTCATAAAAAAAGAATGCAATCCTGTCACTTGCAGTTAAACGGATGGGGCTAGAGAATACCCATTTAAAAAGTGAAGTAAGCCAGACACAGAAAAACAAATACAACCATGTTATTATACATAAGAGCCAAGCTGATCTGCAGCCAGATGCTCCTTCTGGATCTCCCACGTGGGTGTGGGATCCCAATGTCTTAGGATGTCCTTGACTGCTTTCCCAGGCCACCAGCAGGGAGCTAGATGGGAAGCGGGGCTGCCAGGATTAGAACAAGTGCCCATATGGGATCCCAGCTCCTGGCTCTTACTTCCTGACTTCAAATCAGCTCAGCTCCGGCTATTGTGGCCAATTGGGGAGTAACCCAGTGGAAGGAAGATTTTTCTTTATCTAATTCTCTCTGTAAATCTGCCTTTCTAATAAAAAAAAAAAGAAAATGTAATATGAGAAGTTCTGAGAATATGCAGAGCATTTGGTGTACCCCTTATATCTTCTTTTTTTCACTCTTCTACTCCTTGCAAAGTACAAAGCAAAAGGAAACTCCACAAGATTGGAATCTGGCATTATTTATCCAGGACTCTATTCCTAGTGTACAGAATATTGTCTAAAGACTAGCTAAATACTCATTAGCAACTTACTGAATACAAGAAGTCATACCTAAATATGGGATCTTTTAGAATATTGTGATTATCCCAAATGGAAAGACATAATTCTCTATGTCTTAGACTCATCACAGTGTGTTTGAAATTATTACAGCAGGTTCATACTGCCTGCTTTCCCCTTCATAAAAGCTCAGATTATTTCTGTATAATTATTCCTGGTCACAAAATCACGGTAACTGTCTAACATCACTGGGATATCACAATAAGATGCAAAAACAGAAGATACCAAGATGCAAAACCAGAAGATAATTGAAGAAGGATGTTCAATCAGTTACCAACTCCTTTTCATTATTTTTACTTAACATCATTAATATACATCATTTCCTTTCACTTCTTGTTAGCCATATTACCACCGTACTAGATCAAACCACATGATCTTTTATTCAGAACCCACCATTCTGACCCTCACCAGCCTTTTTGTTTCTACTTGGCAACCAAAGTGAAATAGCTTTAAAACGTGACTCTGATGACATCATCCAGGAGCTTCTCCTTGCCTTATATAATTTACAACATTGGGAAAGTGACTTCTTACAATGGCTTTTATAAACTCCCATGATCAGGTTCCTACCTACCTGTCGAGGCTCATTTCTTCATAACACATGGTGAATCCCATGCTCTTATCACACTGAACTTCTGGAAGTTATTGCAAAATTCATGTGTCTTCTTCTTTAGTCTTTAGATAGATGGATACATAGATATAGAGATAGAGATAGAGATAGAGATAGAGATAGAGATAGAGATAGAGATAGAGATAGAGATAGAGATAGAGATAGAGATATCTCCTTCTGTCTGAAACTCTCAACTTTGGCTCTGTCCCATCTGTGGAATTCATAGTTATCCTTTGAGCCTCAAGTTACAAATAAGCAAAATTTTCATTGACTCTATAGGCACACAGCAATGAGTAATTTTCCACAGATTTCAAATACTGAATTATATTTGCTTATTGTCTTGCTGTTCTCCTCTAAATTGTAATGCTTGGTAAACATTCTATATAACTTCATTTCATATTAAAAATCAGAGCAGTAGGTAATCAATAAAGATGAATACACTGATTTTCATCCTATAAGCCAATGGCAGAGAAACATGGGAAAGTCAGAAATGATGGAGTATTTGGCACAGGTTTAACATCACTTGGGGCACCTACATCTCACACAGGAAGATCTGAGTCCAAGTCCTGGCTTTCTTCTGATTTCAGCGTCTACTAATAAGAACCTTGGGAGGCAGTAGATGGTGAGCTAAGTACTTCAGTCCCTGCCATACACACTTGGGAGACCCAGATTGTGCTCTAGGTGCCTGACATTGGCCTGGCCCAGTCCCAGTAGTCACGGGAATTTGTGGAGTAAACTACTACATGAAGGGCTCTTTGTTTTTCTGAGTTTCAGGTATATTTTCAAATTCAGAAATACTAGCATTGAAACATGAGATGATACTGAAAATTAGAAACAGGTCATGGGTTCTAGCAATGAAGAAGTCATTGAGGAATGTGAGTGAAAGCAGAGCAGAGAAAACAGTGCACCTGTGATATGCGAGGCAGTGCTCTGCGAAGCACAGATTTCAAAGCATTCTACAGTGCAGGAAAATACCTGAAATTCCCTTCCCTGGAATATGGAGTTAAACTTCATCTCAAAAGTTGAGTTGGACCCAATTTAAATGGGGAGTACATAAAGGTTACACTTAGGAAAACATTCAAGGACAAAAACTGAGGAACTATTCTCTGGAGCCAAAGTAAAAAAAAAAAAAAAAAAAGAAAAGAAAAACCATCAAAAGAATAGGGATAAGGAGCTGGGAGATGATGGCTGGTGAAAGAGCTGATGGCACACAAAAGGACAAAGTTAGCAAGACGACAGCCAGGGGAAGTTGAGGCAGTAATGGATGGTGCAGACTAGCCTTGATCTCATCGGTAGATTGAAGATAGGGAAGCAGAGGAGGGTTCAAGATAAGGAACATACATTTAGGAAGGAAGCCAGATGATAATGAACCTGGAAGGGTCATACTGGGATGAAGAAATAACCCTCTTTCTTCAAGATGGAAGGAGAAGGATTAAAAGATGTATGCTTCTACAAGTGCATCTTGGAGTAGAAGTGGGGAAAAAAAATCCATGAAAGCTTCTCAGAACCGCCACATTCTCAGTAAATGACAAAGCTCGGGTCGAGGCTAAGAATGTAGGGGATGAGAAGCATGGTACGAGATGAAAAGATTTCCAACAGCTGCCTCAAGAAGAATTACAGAGGGAGTCGACCAGGGACAAGCAACAAGATTGCCAAGCTGCACTGAGAGCCCAGCCAAAGTCAGATAATTAAAGAATAATGATTATTTTCCT